AGGGTCAGTGCTGCTCCTGAGCGTGCAGGGGTACAGCGGGGTGCGGGTTCTGAGGGTGGAAATCGCTTTGGGGTAATGGGTGGTTGTGCCGTTACGGTGTTTGGGATTTGTGCGCACAACCCCCGGAGGGACAGGGGCTCCCAGGGTCTGGGGGACACACCGAGGGTTAGTGCTCCTCCTGAGCGTGCAGGGGTACAGTGGGGTGTGGGTTCTGGGGCTGGAAATCGGTCTGGGATGATGGGAGCGGTGGTTTATGGTGATTGGGATTTGTGCACACAACCCCTGCAGGGACAGGGGCTCCCTGTGCCCAGGGTCTGCGGGACACAGCGAGGGTTAGTGCTGCACCTGAGCGTGCAGGGGAACAGCGGGGTGCGGGTTCTGGGGCTGGAAATCGGTCTGGGATAATGGGAGCGGTGGTTGTGCCGTTACGGTGTTTGGGATTTGTGCACACAACCCCTGCAGGAACGGGGCTCCCTGTGCCCAGGGTCTGGGGGACACACCGAGGGTTAGTGCTGCAGGTGCAGGGGAACAGCAGGGCCCAGGTTCTGGGGCTGGAAATCGGTCTGGGATAATGGGAGCAGTGGTTTATGGTGATCGGGATTTGTGCACACAACCCCTGCAGGAACGGGGCTCCCAGGGTCTGCGGGACACACCGAGGGTTAGTGCTGCTCCTGAGCGTGCAGGGGAACAGCAGGGCCCAGGTTCTGGGGCTGGAAATCGGTCTGGGATAACGGGAGCGGTGGTTTATGGTGACTGGGATCTGTGCACACAACCCCTACAGGAACAGGGCTCCCTGTGCCACCACTGCCACAGCTCCACTGGGCACCAGCACCAGCTGAACTGAACCTCACCAGCCCATTCCAGCTCTGCAAGTGTCCACAGCCACGCTGGACAGAGCCTGGAGCAGCCTGGGCTAAGTGGGGCTGATCCCCACCTTGTCCCCAGCCCTGCTGTCACCCATGGGTCACCTCCAGGGACGGGGACCCCAAACCTCCCTGGGCAGCCCTGAGCACCCTCTCCACAAGGAAACCCCTCCAGGTGTCCCACCTGAGCCTCCCCAGCACACCCCGAGGCCGCTCCCTCCTGTCCTGCCCCGGGAGCAGAGCCCTCCCTGCAAAGGGCAAGGGGCTCCTGGAATGTTTCATATTTGCAGAATAAATAGGATTAACTGCCTGAGGAGCTGCCAGAGAAATGGGGCAGAGGTGGAAGTTGGCCTAGTAGTTATATCATTATTATTATTATTATTATTATTATTATTATTATTATTATTATTATATAACCCAGAGAGAGAGAGAGCAGCAATCTGTGCTCCTACCAGCAGGATTTGGTGCTTTTGTCTTTGCCCGTTCTCAGAGGCAGGAGGTCTCACAGCCTTCACAATATTGCTCAGGTCCACACCTAAAAGGGGAAAAAAAACCAAGTTTAATACTGGTTCCAAGACAATTGGAGTCAAATAAACAGTATCAGTTCCAGTGCTAGGGAAAAGCTGCCAAGGTAACCACAGAGAACAAAGATGAACTTGTAAAGATGCTGAAATAGTCAATTCTGACTGTAAGGCCACATTCTGCCTGGAACAAAGCTAGATGTCAGTTGAGGGGGGCAAAAAGAAGGAATTTAATTTCACTGACCAAATTTTGCCCTCCAGCTTCCCTCTAAGCAGTTTTGCAGTCATAATTAATCCACAAAAGCAGGTCAGCATTAATGGTGTCTCTGTTCCACTTCACAAAGGCTCCTTTCCAATGCTGCACGACCCACCTCTGCCTGCAGGACTCCTTTAAACCCTGGGGACGTGTAAAAGAGCCCAGCCTGCAGAGTGCACGGACGGTACCTTGGGCCTCGAACTGCAGCACGGCTTCTCTCACGGCCTCCTCGGGCTCCATCTCGAACTCGGTGATGTTCTCCTGCACCGCCTCATCGAACGTCTCCTGGGCGATCTGCTTGGAGCCCATGGTGTCGGCACGGGCTGGGTCCGCCTGCGTGTCCTGCTGCTGACAGAGGGACAGCTCGTGTTGGTGTAAAACCTTCTCAATGCCTAAAACCTTCCAGCAGAGGCCGAGCAAGGGGCCGGTTCCTCGTTCTGGTATAAAACCCTTATAACGCCCGGCAGAGCCCGAGCAAGGGGCCGGTTCCTCCTCCAGACAAAGGCTCAGAACTCTCAATCAAAGATACCCGCTCAAAGGCACGGCCGGTGTATTATTGAATGGGGNATCTGATTTGCTTCTCCTGTGTTTTGCTGCTTTGGAATGTGTTTGGAGATTCTTTGATTGGTTTAATTTAAATTGTTTTGACTTAATGAGTAATCAAGGTCAGGCTGTGTCAGTCACGAGTTTTCACTATAACTTTTTGTAGCCTTCTGTCTGCATCCCTTCTCTGTTCTTTAGCACAGTTTTAGTACAGCATTCTTTAATATAATACATTCTAGCATCACGAGATAATAAATGAGCCTCCTGAGAACACGGAGTCAGACTCCTTCATTCCTCCTCAGTACAGTTTTAGTACAGCAATCTTTAATATAATACATTCTAGCATCATGAGATAATAAATGAGCCTCCTGAGGACACAGAGTCAGACTCCTTCATTCCTGCTCCACCTGGGGAACCCAGAAAACGCCCCAGGCCGAGGGTCACTCATGGACAGGAGGATGAGTGATGAGGATGAGGATGAGGATGAGACGCCCCCAGCCCAGCCCAGCCCAGCCCAAACCCCCCGCTGCTCACAGGGTGCTCCATGCAGTCGGCCAGCAGAGTCACCATGACATTCAAGCCCCCCAGGTCCACGATCTCCTGGCAGAACTCGTTCCTGACCGAGAGGCGGGACAGGGTGGCGCAGAGCTCGCTGAGAACCGCGGAGTTATCCCTGAAGGCTGCGAGGAGAGAGGGACGGAGCAATTACTGCACAGTTAACGGGGTTTTATTTCGTTAATTACACAGGGAACACTGCATTTTGTTCTATGCATTCAAACAAGGAGATGCCACCTGCTCACTCTGTTCACAACGTCCTCTCTGGACAAGAGGCAGAGACAAGAGGGCCCTAAAGCTGTAAAACACTTCCTAAATATGCTGAGAAACTGTTTTGATCATCTGACTGCTCCACAGGTTACCAGCAGTGGCATTTTTTGGCTCTCAGGACACATTTCATAGATAGAATTAAACCCCATTTCAGTGACAAATTCTTGAATCACCTCCGAGGAGCTTCAAGCTATGATAA